AGGCTATCTAAGCTTGATCCCAATTTGTCTCTGATGAACTTTATGGTTTGGGGCTTTAGTTCCAGGTCTCTGATCCACTTTGAGTTGATTTTTGTGTATGGTGTGAGATGTGGATCCTGTTTCAGTTTTCTGCAGGAAGCAGTCCAGTTTTGCAAGGACCATTTGCAGAAGAGGTTGTCATTTCCCCATCTGATAGGTTTCATTTTCTTGTGCAATATCTGTTGACCATAGATAGCTGGATCCATTTCTGGGTTCTCAATTCTGTTCCATTGGTCTATGTGCTTCTCACTGTACCAGTATCATGCTGTTTTGGTTACAACTGCTATCTAGTAAGTTTTGAAGTCAGGGAGTGCTATGCCTCCCACTTCATTTTTGTTTTTCAGAAAGGCTTTGCTTATCTGGAATCTCTTTAATCTCCAAATAAACTTGACAATTTCCCTTTCAATCTTCATGGAAAATGAATTTGGTATCAGTATTGGGACTGCACCAAACATGTAGATTGCCTTTGATAAAATTGTCATTTTCACAATTTTGAGTCTTCCAATGCATGAACAGGGAACATTTCCCCATTTAGTTCTTTTATTGTGTCTCTCAGAAATGTTTGTAGTTTTCTTTGTTTGTCTTTTCTGTTTCTAGTTAGGTTCACTCCAAATTATCTCAATTTGTGGTTGGCTATTGTAAATGATAATGCTTTCTTGGTTTCTTTCTCCGAGTTCTCTTTGTTACCAGAGAGGAATCCCACTGATATTGGGATACTGATCTTATATCCTGCCACTCTACTAAACTGGTCTACTAGTCCAACCCATTTGTGTTGTTGTTTTGTGGGGTTTTTTTTCCGAGTCTTTGTGATTTTAAGTGTACACTATCATACCATCTGCACGTAGCAACCATTTTGCCTATCTTTGCCTATCTGGATGCCTTTTATTTCCTTCTCTTGTCGTATTGCCCTGACAAGCACTTCCAATACAATGCCAAATAGAAGTGGGGACAGTGAGCATCCTTGTCTGATGCCTGTTTGCAAGGAAAATGCTTTTAGTCTTTTTCCATTGAGATTCATGTTGACTCTTTGTTTTGCATAAATACTTTTCATTATGTTGAGGAAATTCCCTTCTTTTCCACTCCTGCTGAGTTTCTTTACCAGAAAATGGGTGTTGGATTTTGTCAAATGCCTTTTCTGCATCAATTGCTAAGATATATGGTTCTTGTTATTTGCTTTGTTAATATGGTGAATTACACTGATTGTTTTTCTTAGGTTGAACCATTCTTGCATACCTGTTATGAATCCCACTTGGTGATGATGAATTATTGTTTTCATGTGCTTTTGGATTCTATTGGCTAGGATTCTGTTTAGGACTTTTGCATCTACATTCATGAGAGATATTGGTTTGTAGTTTTCTTTCTTGGTAATATCTTTGCCTGTTTTTGGTATTAGAGTTATGTTTGTTTCATAGGATGATTCTGGGAGTGTTTCTTCTTTTTTCTATTTTTTTAAAATACTTTAAGTAGACTTGATAATAGACCTTTTCTGAAAGTCTGGTAGAATTCAGCTGTCAAGCTGGTCCAGGATTTTTCTTATGGTGAAGTCTTTTCATGACTTGGGGAACCTAATTTTTTTGTGTATGCTTTGTTCACTTTAAATACAATAAAATATCTTTTAAAATGTCCAAGGTTATAACCTTCTAAAAATGATGAATCTAGGAATGACACATCCATGTCTAGTGAGCTGCAGAGACTATTGGTCAAAGGCAGTATTCAAGTTGACATTCAGTGTCACAGCTGGCTTGATCCAGAAAGCCTGATCTAAATCCAGGCAAGTGTGGGTTCCAGCAATGGCTGAGTAAGGGACAGCCTTTGGCCCATTACACTGTGGAGCTTTATAGAGAAGATTCTCCACGTGAAGCAGGTTGTCAATGTCAACCAGAAACCATCTTGGGTAAGGGCAACCTACCCTAGGTTAGGTAAAAGACCAGGGTACATTTCTAGATGAAGCACATTACTAGAGAAGTTCCTAGGATCATTGATGCCTCCAGGGTTTGTATTAACCACATTCATATGTGGTTACACAGAACATCTATGTGTGCTTATATAAGTGCCTACATATTCATTCTCAAGAAGATATTTGCCTGTGTACTTTTTTGTACTGTAATCATAGTCACAGGTTTTATTTGGTGGTGTTGTCATAACCTTTTTTTTTAAAGAAAAAAAAAGTCCTTTTCTCTGGTATATTTCTTAGTGACATAATTTATTTCAGTCAAGCTGTATGTACTTCACTCATATTTGATACCTTTCTTATCATAAAAAATGGCACTATCCCAAGTGTGATTCTGCTATTTCTCTCTTTCCACCCATCTCTGGTAATCACCACACACATATATTTTCTCATAAAATGGCAATCATCTGATATTTGCCCTTTTATGATTGATTTATTTCACTTAGCACAATGTCCTTGAGATAGATTTATCCATGTAATTAGATGTTTGGAGAAGTTATCATTATTCTTTATAGCTATGCAGTATTCCATTCAATGCATGCTCCACATTTTGTTCATCATCTATTCATTGGTGAGGCATTCAGGTGGCTTCCATGTTGTTCTCATGGTGAATAGCACTGCAATGAACATAAGTGTGCACATGTCTCTATCATTTTTATTAAATCTTTAGTATATGTACTTAGCAGTGGAATTACCATTGAGATTTTGTTAGAAAGAATATAAAAATGAACATATCATTTTTTACTTTTAGAATTTAAAGATGATATTCCAACCAAGTCTATTTTGAGAATTCCACTATACCTTAGTATTTCTGGAATGGTGATGGAGTTACAGTTAAGTCATAATGTAATCCCAAAAATGGTGAGTGGCTCACTAGTATTGTAACCAAATACTCTTCGTCAACTAGGGAGACTATATTGTCTCCTGTATCTATCATCAACTGGTAGGGTCACTAAGGATAATCCTCTAAAAGATGAAATTAGAAAAATACCCATCAAAAACAGATAAGACATTTAACTGAGCAGAAATAACAAGAGAGTAAAGAATAAGACAGAAAACCTTCATCAAGATCTAGTCATGCAGCATCAAGTCAAGACCCTCTAGCAGGTTTTCAGAAGCAGTTAATGGCATGAGAGGAGATTGTTCATCCTTCTCTCAATCAAGATCTTATATTTAAAAAATAGAAAAGAACACAAAGATATGAAAAATCAGGTATACATGCTGTAAAATCCCAGGGGTTATAGTTGAGCACATGCTTGCCCCAAACATCAGGGAAAGAGCACGGCAGTGAATCTTCAAAGCTGTAAGGTATGGCTGGTAGTGAGGAAATGACTATTAACAGAAAGGTCTGAATTAATCTCCTTATTGATGAATCACAACTGACTCACAGCTGACCCTCTATTAGGACTCTAAGACTGTAAATCACATGGGAGGAAATTGCCACATTTCTCTTAAGGAGTTGCTGGTATATTCAAACTGCCAGAGAGACGCAGCACTGGGTTTAACAGTGTAACTCAGTAATTGAGGTCTACTTGCTTATGACATAAATGATAGGAAATCCTTTTGCATTTGCCCCTGTCACTTTTATGGCCCTTTGCTTCCTCATTCTACTCATGTTACCATTATTACAATAAATGTCTCAGTATCTTAAAACACACACACACACACACACACACATACACACACACACACACACAAAAAACAACAACAGTGTAACTCCCAATGAACTATGCTACTAGAACTCCTTTTTTAATTAATATGGTCTAAAATTAGTAAATTCAGTTCTGAGTATGGTATGGTAGGCCTGACAAACTTTGGTTCCATAATTAAGCCTAAAAATCTGCCAACTATCAGAGATTTGAAAACTTCAAAAATTCAACAGGGAATATCATAATCTCCTAACAGGTTCACTGTGCCTTGGTGGCAAAAATGGGCAAATGCTCAGCTGTTCACCAAAGGACTGTAGGTTTAAAGACATCTTGCAGCTCTCCTGGGACCTGTGATGGCATAGTATGCAGGGAGTTCACAGCTACCCAAAGGCTGTTTGTCTCTCTAGCAGTTTGAATCCATCAGTGGCTCTGAGGGAGGAGAGAAAGATGGACAATCTCCTACTTAGAAACCCACCGTGGGGTCAGCTGAGCTGTGAGTGGGTTCCAACTCTATGGTAATGAATGAATGAGTGGCTCTGCAAGAAAATGACCTCCCAAGGATTCTGTACAAAGATTTTGGTCTAAAACCCCCATGAGGCAGTTCTACTCTGTCACATGGGGTCACCATGTGTCAGAATCAATATGATGGAACCTAACAACAACAACAACAACAACACACGTTAACGGTTTATTAACTAAATGAATAACAAAAATATTTCATCCAGCCACCTTAAAACTGTGACAGTATTTTCAAACAACAACAACAACAACACACGTTAACGGTTTATTAACTAAATGAATAACAAAAATATTTCATCCAGCCACCTTAAAACTGTGACAGTATTTTCACATTTCATTTTTATCTAATTTCTTTTGGGCTCTAGATTTAAAAGCCTGACAGTTCAATTTCTTATGTTATGTTTATAGTGAATAAATCAGTGATTACATGTAACCATTCTAGTTAAAATGAAAGGGTTGATTCTTGTCAGACAGTTCACCAAGAGGTACATTATGTAAACTGAAATAAATAAAAGCATGAGTTTAATTTTTTGGATCATTCTCTAAAAGTTCTTGAATTGAATTAATTTGGGCTTTACTTAGGGGTTTAGCTTTTACTTTTAAATTATGCAGAAGAATTCTTAACATTCAAAAGAGTTTATACTTTTAAAAGCCAAGAAGATAGGCACCTGACAAAGGCTTTCTACCCTAAAGGCTTCCCTGTTTCCAATGGCGGTATTCCACGGGCACTAATTTTGTGGTGTTAAAAGGTCAAGTGAAGATAGGTTGTTCCTGGAGTGTTTTTTGTAGGTGGCATTTTCAATTCTCTATCTTCTTGTTGAAAGCTGTCATCTTCACTTTAATCAGGAAGATAAGTCTGTAATTTCTTCAATTGTAAACTCATCAGCACACTTTTGGAGGTCTACTGTTTCATTTATTGTCCATAACTTTGCAAAATATTTTAGCCTTTTCCTAGAAAGAAAATAAAATACAATTTATTTTAGAAATAAGATTGTTGGGGGATTAACAGATCACACATTGAAAGTTACGAAATGCTGATGGCACTGGAGTGTCTGAAAGGATGTGGTCATCAGGACATTCCACCAGCAGTGTTGCTGCTAGAATGAAGGGACCCCAAGACCTGGTCATTACTACTGCTGTCTGCAGGAGGGGATAATACCACTCTTTCCACCTCTGACATATACAGAAGTCATCTGTGTATGTGAAGACAGAAGCACTCCTATTGAACGCTCTCGAAAAACTCACTGCCTCGAGTCGGAATTGACTCATAGTGATCCTCCTCTGGGTTTCCACGGCTGTCTATAGCACAGGAGGAGAGAGCTCACCTCTCTCTTGCAGAGCTGCTCTGGTGCACTGGGAGAGCCAGAGAGGTGAAACTTTAGGGTTGGCAGCACACTCCCTGCAGACTACACCACCAGAGTTCCCGCTTGCTGAGTACTGGCTGGATGAGAGGGGGAAGTGTAATTTAATAAAATAAATTAACATAAAGCATTAAATGCAAGTAAGTCATCAACCTGCATTTTCTTTCAGAAGAGTAAATCAGTCAAGTGTTCAGGATCTGAACTCAAGTCAAGTGTCCAGGATACTGAAATCTGTATCTAAGTTTTAATTACTGTTCTGCAAACTAACAAACTACGTGGCCCTGGGTCAGTTTCCTACTCTTGCTTGGCCTCAAGTTCCCGAGCTTTAACATGGGTTAACAACAATGGGTTAACTCTTTTTCCAATATCTACAAAGCAATTAGAGTAGCAATGGGCACAGCCTGGGCTGCTGCAATTGGCTGTTCTGGTCTGTTAAGGCTCACAATAAGTATTCTGTAATATTAGCTATTACTCTCCCTACACAGAAAGCACAAGATTCAATCTTGTTTCTCTGACCTGAGTAGTGCAACTTATGTGATATGTGCCTTTAGTGGAAAGGTAAAATAACAAATGCATTTAAAAATACAGACATGATCATATTCAATCTCGATACAACGGTTTCCAACAATTCTGTCTTTCAAGGTAACTATATATTTCAAAATATCACATGGTGGTTGGAAAAATCAGACTACTTATATGTAAATGTAATATTATTGCTCTTATTTTATAGGCTGCATCTATATCAACAAGTATAAGGTGTATTTTCTTGCCATTTCGTATATATCCTTTGTTTTATCCTTGTCTTTACAGAGGTAAGGATTAAAAAAAGGAAAATAATTAAGACAACAATTGTTGTTTGCAGAAGAACAAGTTTATTGTTCATTTTTGTTTTGGAGCCATGGTGGTACATTAGCTAAGCACTTTTATTTTTAATTAGCTAAGCACTTAACCACTAACCAAGAGGTCTGTGGTTCAAATCCACCAACCACTCTGCAGCAGAAAAGTCATGGCAATATGTTCTCATAAAGATTTTTTTTTAAAAAAAGAGAGCTCTGTTAGCATAGCCTGTGTGTGTGTGTGTGTGTGTGTGTGTGTGTCTGACACTGCTAACTCAAAGGTGGCATCTCTGGTGGTGCGAATACATCAGTGGCTCCAGAGGAAAAAGGTGGGTAATCTCCTCCCGTGTGATTTACAGCCTAGAAACCTCTATAGGACAGTTGTATTCTGTTATGAGTAGGAATCAACTTGATGGCACTCAACAATAAGAAGTTAGTTTTTTAAAATTCTGATAATTACTTTTCTCTCGGCAAAAATGTGACTTTTCTAAACTGTAACACTTTAAACTGGTCACTCGTAGTAGTGATAATTACACAATTCTAACTGCTTCTGTCACGGCACTGTAAAAATGACCCAAAAGAGCCTGTCAGTCATAGCACGCTAGTGGATGTGGTCAAACAAAGGTTATATGTTAAAGATTATATGTGAAAGGATAAAGGCAAAGGGAGGGGTCAATCACAAGAGAAAAAGAAACAGAACATATAACTGTCCGTCAGTATGTAAGTTAGGTAATACTCTTGCTGCTGTGTGCCCTCTAGACAATGTGGTCTCAGAGTGACCCTGGATGATAGATTAGAACTGGTATTACTATTTCTGTATTTAAAAGAGAAGTCCTGGTAGCACAATGGTTAAATATCTTGTTGCTAACCCAAAGGCCAGTGGTTCAAATACGTGAGTTGCTCAGCAGGACCAAGATGAGACAATATGTTCCTATAAAGATTTAACCTCTTGGGAGCCCTATGGGGCACTTCTACTTTTTCCTGTATAGTTAATATGAGTACAGGAACAAGTTTTAATCTGCAATGAATTCTAGAGTTGAATAAAATTGTTACAGTAAAACCCAGGGACTCCAGTCAATACTGTCTATTTGGTCAGCAATCTGCTCACTCATCATCACATGGCTATAGTCCAGGCAGTAACATCTGTCTGGCCAGCTTCACACAGGCCAGACTCTCCAGATAGGGAGGAATCATACGCAGACTGGATGTAGTTTTGGGACATAATTTTATGTCTGAGATACAAAAGTCTATCATTTATTATGGGCATGCTGTTTGCTAGTACAGCTCTGTGTTATGTTAAGATTAATTTATATACTCAGTACATATGAAGCCAGTGAAAGAAAGGAAGACCCTCATCAAGACGAATCGACACAGTGACTGCAACAATGGGCTCGAGCACGAGCTCATGAAGGTGAAGAGGAGGGCAGGTTTCTCATCTGCCCTTCACAGGGTCACTATGATTTGTAGTTGACTTAATAGTCCCTAACAACAACACAGCTGGTGTGAAAAGAAAAGGTGGAGTGAATTCACTAAAACATTCTAAGTAGCAAAACGAAGCCATGTTAAAAAGAAAACTACATCTCAACAAAAGAAGTGGCCTCTATATATTGTAAGGAGCTCTGGTGGCTTAGTGGTAAGGAGCTGGGCTGCTAACCCCAAGGCTCACGATATGAATCCACCACTTACTCCATGGGCAATCTTCTCCTTGGAATTTACAGCCTCTGAAAACCCACTAGAGTGTTAGTTCTGAGTTGGTTCCAACTCAATAGTACATAATAAAAACAACTATGCTATTTTGATCATGTAATATACAATACTTTTTTGTTTCTTGGGTTTTTCAGAATAAACAGATATGTCTTGGAGAAGGTGATACTAGATTATTCCTTGAAAGCAAGGATAGTAACGCTTTTTCTCACATAATTTGAGCATGTTGCTAAGAGAGGCTATTCCTTGGAGAAGGACATGATGCTTAGAAAGGTAGGGGGATGGTGGAGGAGAGGAAGACCCTCAGCCAGGTGGATGGTACAGCTTCTGCAGAAATGTGTTCATCAGAGGTTGTGAGGCTGGCAAAGGCTAGGACAAGGATCAGAAGTGTTTTTTGCAGGTTCGCTATGAGTCGTATTTGACTCAACAGCACCTAACAACAACATGTGTAACATTATTTTCTCTCATGTCATGACAGAATTCTTTATTTCTGAATGTAATCAGCACCTATTTTAAATAGTATAAAATGTCCTTTATAGGTTCTAAGTACTGAACTTTCTCTCAACAACTTTTCAAAACATTTACCATTTGAGGCAGCTCTTTTTTGGCACATAGAAATGAATTCTTTAGACTGAAAAGAATTAAATTCAAAATTTATCAGATAAAGATCTGAACAGGGAACTGAATTCACAAGACCTTTGCCAAGAACTGCTAGTACTTCATCATAATTAGATGCTTTGAAGTATTTGCTGTGGTTTATATGACATTCCTTTACCGGTATCTTACACTCATTTAGGATAATCCAACTCTTAGGATGACTAGAAGATTTCCATATAAACCCCCATATTAGTAGCATTCTGACCTTTTCATGTTTACTAATCCTTCGAGGTCTTTTGATTTGCAAGCAGCTGTCTTTAAAATGTCTCCAGGAATATCTGCTAGTTTAGCCACATTGAGTCCATAGCTCCTCGCTGCAATTCCTCTGGTTATTTGATAAAGGAAAGTGACACAGTCGGGGATTTGTTCTTCTTTGCCTACAAAAAACAAAACAAATGGCTTAAAATAACAAGCTGAAAAAGTATTGTATTGTAAAAAACTAGCTGAAAAGTTCGTACTAAACTTCTGTATCAAAAAGACAAAAATTCTGATATATAGGACATTGTTGTTGTTGTTATGTGCTGTCGAGTTGCCTGCGACTCAAATATATATCATGCAATTTAAATAATGAGACAGACAAATCATGATTTTTCTACTAAATAACCTGGTTAACTAATAGTTACATATATTGAAGTGGAAGGCATTGAGCGCCACTCAGATCTTCCTTCAGAATGAAGGGCTTATGCCTAAAGCGGAAGACTAGAGCTATTACTGCTAGAGTTCTGGTAGTCGGCTGGGTAAAGAGTTATGCTGCCAACCCAAAGGCAAGCAGTTCGAATCAACTAGTTTCTCCAAGGAAGAATGACAGGCAATCTCCAGTGAAAATCCACTGAAGGGTCAGCTATGAGTCAACTCTGACTCGATGGCAATGAGGGTGAGTGAATATGCTATAAGAGTGAAAGCCCATGTACCTCAGCCTCCCTGAGATCTGTCTCAGCTGAAAAAAAAGCTTCTATGTTCAAAGTCATGTTCCCTCCTTCACATAGCCGGCATACCATCCCCATTTACTATGAAATAAGCAGGCAGTATCTCAGACCCCATCTCTCTCTCTCTCTCTCTCT